CTTTTTTATGGCCTTAGTCTTATAATATTTATACTGATTGAAATTTAAGGAATGATTTGTTAAAAGATGAGTGCAAATCTACTTTAAAATTTTTARGTGTTAAAGAAATATCGGCGAGAAGACAACAAGACTAAATATTGTACCAATTAAATTTTTTCTAGAATAAATGGTTAATTTTTGTTCTGTGTGTTGTGTATTTTCAAGTGACTAATAGACATTGGTATTAGATTTACGATACGTATACTGTTTTCTTTCGCCACGTCAGCAGCAATTTGAAATTAGCACTCATGTTGGTCAAGTTACCAAGGCCGCTGCCCTTACCACTGAAAGATTTCAAATGAAAATTCTATGCTGAAACGTTGTTGATCAAATTATGAAGAAAAATCATAACTTTTTGATGGCCTTAACCTTATAATATTTGTATTGATTGAAATTCAAGCAATGAAGCGTTAACATTTGTTAAAAGATGAGTGCAAATCTAATTTAAACTTTTTACGTATTAAAGAAACATCGGCAAGAAGACAACAAGACTAAATATTGTACCAATTTAATTTTTTTCTAAAATAAATGGTTAATTTTTGTTTTGTTCTATTTGTGTGTAGTGTATTTTCGAGTGACTAATAGACATTGGTTAGATTTACGCTACGTGTACTATTTTCTTTCGCCACGTCAGCACCAATTTAAAATTAGCGTTTAGAGTCTGACCCTTTAAACGAGTGCAAATTTACTTTAGACTTTTTATTCTTCGACAAAATTTACGGTTTTTCTCTTGTGTAAGAAAGTTTTGACAACTGTTTGGCATTTCTCAATACAAAACGTCAGACTATATTTAACAGATTTAAATCAATTTTAAGCCTTGTTTTAAGCCTTGTCTTCGTGTAAATTGGTTCATGTATTCCACCTCGTGGACGATACACCACTCGTTAACACTCGTTGTTTAAAAATCCACTTGTAAAATAAAGCGACTGATTTACACTCAAATTCAACTATTACGTAAGAAACATCGGCAAGAAGCCAACAAGACTAAGAATTGTACGACTTTAAATTTTTCTAGAATAAATGGGTAATTTTTGTTTTGTTTCAGAAACTTCAGTGGCACTCATTGCATAAATCTAAATATAATGCCAATGTCAGTTAGTCACTCGAAAATACTCAACGCGCACTGTGTTGAGTATTTTCGAGTGACTAATAGACACTGGCCAATTTGAAATTAGTACTCACAATGGACGTTTCCGGACGATGAACCAAATCCCGGCCGCAGTACCCAATAACAGTAAGATGACTATTGGTACCACAATAGCAATTGTACTCGATGCAGCATCGGCCCTGCTTTGAGCCGCGTGTATATCGCAGTACTGTCCTTGGAAATCATGGGGGCAGTCACATTCCAACTCATTTGTATCTGTCTTGCGACAAAGACCCCCATTTTGACACAAACAAATCCGAGGATCGGGTCTTGGACGCTCTTGAGCTGCGTCACATTTTATCTCAGCTTTGGTGCGATGGGACGAGGGTACTGCCGAATCTGGGCAAGAACATCGGTGACCCCCCGGAACCAATAAACACAAGTGGGTGCATTCGTTCTCGCGGCAAGGGCTACTAATCGACTTGTTGTAGCGCAACTCGTGGTAAACTAAAAAAAGATAAAAAATCGCTATAATAGTATATTATTCAACGAGTGAGAAAATTGAATTACTCGTCTTCGGGTCGTATTGTAAAATTTTTGACTTACTTAAAAAAATTATAAAAAATCGCTATAATAGTATATTATTCAACGACTGAGAAAATTGAATTACTCGTCTTCGGCTCGTATTGTAAAATTTTTGACTTACTTAAAGAAATTATAAAAAATCGCTATAATAGTATATTATTCAACGAATGAGTGAGAAAATTGAATTACTCGTCTTCGGCTCGTATTGTAAAATTTTTGACTTTCTTAAAAAAAATTATAAAAAATCGCTATAAAAGTATATTATTCAACGAGTGAGAAAATTGAATTACTCGTCTTCGGCTCGTGTTTTAAAATTTTTGACTTACTTTTGACTCCTGAGGGATTGAGTAGGTCCTTCTGGACTACCACAGGGACCCCTCGCCCGAACTTGTCCTGTTTGACTAACTCGCCACTGTCTCGCGTAATCCAATACAAGTCAGATTCAAACACATCGATCGAAATCGGGTGTTTGAGTAACTCTCCCCTGAGGATGGTTTTGCGATTAGTACCATCATATTTGATCGATTCGATGTTGTTTAGTTTAGTGTCCACCCAGTAGAGGGCATGGTCCATGGCATAATCGATTGCAAGACCTGTGGGAGTGCGAATTCCGTCGATGATTAATGGTCTTCGTTTGGAACCATCCATCCAAGAAACCTCAATTTTGGGTGCGGAACCAGAATCACTCCAGAACATTCGACCATATTGTGGGTCGACCACGATGGATGTTGGGTTTTCGAGGCCAACGTTGACCAGAGCTCGCCGATATCTACCATCGGTTTTAGCGACCATGACTTTACCTTTGGGCTTGGAACCAGCTCGGTCGGTTTCGGTCCAGTAAAGGTTGTCACCGACCCAATCAAGGGCCAAGGCTGTCGGTTTTGAGTTGCCTTTCATGTTAAGGTCCTGCGCATAGCCGGCTTTGACTTGCCCATCAACAGCGTTGATCATGTAGGAGCGTTTGATGGTCTTGTCATAACTATATTGAATAAAAAAATAAATCGTCGTTCAAAAAATATGACTTTTTGATAGCTTTAGCCCCAGAGAAAATTTTCAAGTAAAGTAAAATACCAGGAACATGAAAAAAATGTTTAAAAAATTTTATCTGTCAAAAAATTTTGCCATTTATTTTTTGACATTTGACACTTTTTATATGTTTTTGTTTATAATTATTTAGTAAAGCCACAAAAAATAAAGTCAAAGTGCAAAATTTAAACTGTCACAACTTCGTAATTTTTATAGATAGAATTTTTTTAACATTTTTACCATGTTCTTGGTATCCTACCTTACATGGAATGTTTCTCTGGGGCCCAAGTTCTGGCGCACCCTGTTTGTCCGGCTAAATTATTACTTATTTGGTGGTTCAATGTGAAATTGTGTTGAATTGGGGGCTGTACACACAGTGAGTGAGTGTTGTGTATTTTCGAGTGCTTAATAGACACTTAGTAGTGCGCGATTTTTAAAATTTTGAGTGATTAGTGAGTGCCAATGGGGGAAATGGAGAAGATAATCATGCTACAAGGATCCGGATTAAACGGTAAGTCAATAATAACTGTTAACTTTTTAGAAAAAATACATCTGTTAAATGTTATTTCATTTTTATCAACTAATTTTATAATACATTAAACTAATTTTGTGTTTCTTTATTTTCAGTAGGTTCGTGTAAGAAGCAGAGGCGAATTGCTACAAAGGGTAGCAGAAGAAGATGCCATAAAGGTTAGTGCATTATATTTTTTTTGCTTATTGCAAAGTGAAGTGTGTGAATTTGTAAGTATTTATTAAATTATGAATAGAAATTAATTGTGCGTTTTAGATACAATGTACTATTTCTCAAATTCTTTTTCAAAATTTGTAGAAAACAAAGGCTAATTTATTTTTAAAATAATTTTAACCTAAAAATTGGCTCTTTTGTTTATATTAAATAAACATCAGCAAGAACAATTCTAAGTATTACATTTTCTATTTTAACAGAATATAAAAATATAGCAACCAACGATTTTTTGTTAATATTCTTGTTTCATTGTTATTTTATCACAAATTGAAAGTTGTAGATCACAAACAATATTAAAGGTCCATAAATTTTTATATTGTTATCAATTTTATTTTACACTTTATAAATCACGTACAAATCTGGTAATTTTAAATAAGCACAATACTAAAAATAAAAGTTACAATGAAACTGTTATGAAACGGGTTTTTACGGATACTGTCGTTTTTGAGGGAATTATTACAATAACGAGTCAGTCTTAGCCAAGCTCCCGTACGACTTACTTAAATTGTAATAATTATTACCTATTTGGCGGTTCAGTCAAAATTGTGTTGAAATGGGTCCACACAGTGAGTGTGTATTGTGTATTTTCGAGTGCCTAACAGACATTTTTTTATTTCTCACAGTAAAAATATTGTTTTTGTAAATTTTGTTCGAGAAATAGTCAGCACTCGGGATATTACTATTGAAAATTCAAGTACAATTTCTATAAAAATTATATGAATTAAGTAACAATTCAATAAAATTTAAAATAAATTTGAAACAATTTTTATTTTCGAGTTATGTTCGATATTACTATAATCTCACCTGTTTGCCCAGTAAATTTTTGGGTAATTTGAAATTTTTTGTATGTGTCGTATAAAAATAAATAAAAAAACTCAATTTTTGGCCATTGACAGTCCCCCATGTTAGGTAAATCGAGGGGTTTGTTTAATCGTACGACTAGAAATCAGTTTGTTGTGTAAACAAGTGTAAAGGGCGCAAAAATGGTAAAGTTGGAATTGGGTAATAATCGAATTACTTTGTGACGTTGCGAATGGCGGGAATACGTAGCCCCAAAGAACAAAAGTGTTACAAAATAGAAAAATGGTGCAGTCGAAATTGTGTTAAAATAGGGGCACACAATGCGTGTGTGTTGTGTATTTTCGAGTGCCTAATAGACATTTTTTTTAATTTTTCGTAATAAAAATATTGTTTTTGCAAATTTTCTTTTAAATAAACCTTACCTGTCAGCCCAGTAGATCATTTGGGTATTGGGGTTATAGTCAATCGCCTCGATTCGTTTCTCCTCACTTATCACATCATTTTCCTCGTTACTTTTCGGGTTAAAGGACCGTATTTCGGGTCCATTGGCAAACAACAGAGTCAAATCATCGTTTAAAGCTTTACAAACCCCAGATAATCCATCCGAAAGTCTGAATTTCTCATGACACGAACAGGTGTAACTCCCATTCAAGTTTGTACAAATTTGTGAACAATGATGAAGTCCAGTGGCACATTCATCGACATCTAGACACACTTTCCGATTCTCTTTCGAGATGATAAATCCCGAGTAACAGGCACAGATGTAACCGCCATCGGTTAGGTTCATACAGTGGTGTTCACAGCCTCCTCTGTTATCCACAGTGCAAACATTATTATGATGACAACCCAACTCATCAGAACTGTCACCACAATCATCAGCAAAATCACAAACTTGTGCTTTATCTATACATTTTTTGTTGGCACACTTGTACTCAGTCATGACGTTACAAGGCTTGATTTTAGTGGCACATAACGTCATATTGTTCTCATCGGAACCATCACCGCAATTATCAACATGGTCACAAAGTTGGTACCTGGGGATACATTTGTGATTAGCACACTGGAAGCGTCTCAAAGTGTCACAAGTGAAGTTGGTGCACAGAGAGGGCGCTTCATCGGAACCATCCCCACAGTCATCGGCACCATCACACAAATCGGCTTGGCTGATACACAAGTGGTTGTTGCATTGGTACCGCGATTCGGGGCAGTACCGACCACCGGGGTACCTCGGGGGGCAGTTTTTCTCGTCGGACATGTCGCGACAGTCTCTATCACCGTCGCACCGGAAGTAGAAGGCGATACAGTGACCGGAAGCGCACTGGAAGGTACCATTCTTGCATTGGAATTCCCGACAACTCGTCTCGTCCGAATTGTCACCACAGTCGTCCTCATGGTCGCATCGCCATCTCGACGAGATGCATTTATTATTGGCGCATTTGAACTCTGATTCGGAGCATGCGCGATAGGTGCCTTTACAGAGTTCGTCATTTTCGTCCGAATTGTCACCACAGTCGTCCGAAAAGTCGCATTTCCATTGGTTGGGGACACAGCGGTTGTTGTTGCATTTGAAGTCAGTGGCGGGGTTGCATTGGGGGCAGTTTTCGGGGAGTTCGTCGGATTTGTCACGACAGTCGTCTTTCCCGTCACAGAACAGCCATTTCGGGATACATCTGTAGTTGTTGCGTCCTGGACACCTCTGCCATCCCGTGGTGCAGTTCTTTTGCCGACACATATATGCCGGTTCATCGGAGTCATCACCGCAGTCGTTATCGAAGTCGCAAACCCACAATTTCGGGATGCAGCGGCCATTCTTGCAGGAGAATTGCGTCGCAGGGTCACACTCCCGTTTATTACAGATACTTGGGTCCTCGTCAGAGCCGTCTTTGCAGTCGGGGTCGCCGTCACATTTCCAGCTGTTGAGAATACAGCGACCGTTGGAGCGACATTTGAATTCTAATTCGGGACAAGGCATGTCGCATTGTTGCTCATCGGAGCCGTCACCACAGTCGTCAGTGCCGTCGCAGATGGTCGAGGAGGGGGTACAATTGCCGTTCTTGCATTGGAATGTACCAGCGCGGCATTGGCGGGGAGGGCATGTGGAGGGTTCGTCTGAGCCGTCTTTGCAATCGCGCTCGCCGTCACATCTGTAATTTGCATTTTTGGTAAATAAATATTGGTTATATATACAGGGTGTTGCGTTTTTATTGTTACAAATTTAAACAGGTGATAGAATAGCGTTTTTATTGTTACAAATTTAAACAGGTGATAGAATATTCAATTTTAAGACAAAAGTTTCCTATGAACATGTATCAAAAAATGTTACGTAAGCGAGCTACACCCCCTGAAAGAGATGCGTTGTTTAATAACAATAAAAGTTGGTAACACCTGAACGAATTCAAAGATCAGTTGTCAAAATTTTTAATCACGGGTGTCTTAAATGGTGAAACAAATATAATTTTTAATTTTCAACCTTTTTATGGTCTGTAAGACAAATTGTAAACTGATTTTACTTGAAACAGTAAGTTGAATCGAAAAAACGCAGAGACCTTTTTTTGTTTAAAACTATGAAATTTAGAATTTTGTGGCTGAAAGTGCCACGAACCAACAGCCAAAAGAGTTAGTGTACTTTTATCCTAAACCCCCCTAGTTTAGGACGCCCCTGAGTAAAAATTTCGACATTTTATCTTTGATTTCGTTTGGGTGTACAAAGTTTATCGGTTGTACCAAATTTTGAAATTTTATCTACAATGGTTGGTGAAATATTTCAAGAAATCCTTTAAAAGATGCACCCCTTTCAGGGGATGTAGCTCCATTATTTAATATTTTTAGATACATGTTTATAGGAAACTTTTATCTTAAAATTGAATATCCTATCATCTGCTTAAATTTGTAACAATAAAAACGGAACACCCTATATAGCTTAACCATATTTTTCAATAAGAGACGGAATTATCTCGAAATATTTAGACAAAAATATACCGAAAAGTCACCAAATTAAGTGAAAAATAATGATTTATGCTTGTTTACATCACGTTTTTTTGTAAGATTCTGTTAAAAAATTACCAAATTAGGTTGAAAATGACCTTTTTATGATTTTTTTGGGCGTTTTAGCACGTTTTTCAATTAAAAATTTACAAAATTATTTCGTCACAAATCGCTAAATTTACTCAAAAATGGTGTTATTTTTACTTTTTTAGATTGTGCTAAAAATTTTGTTCAAAAATAATACCATTTTTCCATTTTAGGACGTTTTTTTAGTCAGAATCGCAAATTGTTTTGAAAATTTTCGTCGAAAACTTCAATTATTTTTGCTTCTTTGGAGAGTTTAAGCATGTTTTTGAGCCGAAAGAAAAATCATCTGGTTGTTTTTCCAAACGTTTTAGCAGATTTTTTAATCAAAAGCACAAAACTTCGGCAAAAATAAGCCGAAAAATCACATAATTAAGTAGAAAATGAAGTTATTTTTGGTTTTTTCAAACATTTAGTTGCGTTTTTAAGTCTAAAACAAAGTTTTTTTCTTTAATTTTTGCTAAAAAACATACCAAAATTAATACATATAACAGACTAAATAAAAAACGACATAATTTATGCTCTTTTCGAGCGTTTTAAAATATTTTTCAATAAAAAATGCGATTATTTCGCAAAATTTTGTCAAGAATACCTACAAGTAATTGAATTAGGTAAAAATAGTGTTATTTGTGCTTTTTTTAACATTTATTTATTATTATTTATTTATTTAAACATATTTTAACCCCTTTATCCACTGTTTATTCAACAATCCAAGTTGTACATAACGCCTTTAGCATTTGGTAATTTCATTCCTAATAGAAACCAACACTTAAAAGTCTTTTTCAATAAAAGAATATTGTGAAAAAAATTGTTTCAAAAGAAAATATCAGTTTTCAAAAAAATTTTACATAACACCTTTATCGACTCACTCCTTCAATTAATATTGAATGTTAAATATCTTTTCATTTATCAATT